GAGTGCCAAAGAATTGATGTTTTCGAACTGTGGTGTTGGAGAAGACTCTTGAGAGTCCCTTGGACAGCAAGGATATCAAACTTGTCAATCCTAAAGGAAGACAATCCTGAATAGTCATTGGAAGGACTGGTGCTAAAGCTGAAACTCCCAATACTTTGGCCACCTGATGGAAAGAACTGACTCATTTGAAAAGACCCTGATGCTGGGAAAGATTGAAGGTGGGAAGAGAAGGGGACGACAGTGGATGAGATGGTTGAAGGGCATGACCGAGTCTATGGATGTGAGTTTGACTCAACTCTGGGAGTTGGTGATGGACAGGGAGGCCTGGAGTGCTGCAGTCCATGGGGTCGCAGAGAGTCAGATACAGCTGAGTGACTGAACTGAACTGATACTGTCCCCCACAGTGGCTGTACTGATTTCCATTCCCACCAAAAGCAGAAGAGGGGGGCTGTTCCTTCACATCCTCGCCAGCATTTATTGTTTACAGAATTTTTGGTGATGGCCATTCTGACCAGTGTGAGGTGACACCTCACTGCAGTTTTGATTTGCATATCCCTAATAATTAATGATGTGGAGTATGTTTTCATTTCTTCTTTGGCCATCTATGTGTTTTATTCAGATAAATGTCTATTTAGATCTTCTGCCCATTTTCTGATTGGGTTTTTTAATTTACATTGAGCTTCATGAGTTTTTTTTAAATTTATTTTGGAGATTAATTCCTTTTCAGTTGCTTCATTTGCAAAGAGTTTCCCCCAATTTGAGGGTTGTCTTCTGTTTTGTTTATGGTTTCCCTTCCTAATTACCTGTTTGATGGCTGATTGAGCATGCAGATTAATGTTTTAACTTTGAAATTTGTCTAATTTTCCTTGCAGTCTTATATTTTCTTCCCCACCTTAGCAGATTGCAGAATAAGTATTTTTATGACTTATTATTTCAAAGAACATACTACATCATGGGTACTGCTCTAGGTGCTAGACATATTGCTGTGAATAAGTCTCTGATCTTGTAGAACTTATTTTAGTGATAAGAGATAAACAATAAAAATACAGTTATGTATGGTTATAAATGAGTGGTGAGGAGTGAGATGAGTAGATGATAAATGGGATATCAGTGACAAATAGAGCCCTACATGCCTCAGACTGAACTTCCAGCCAGTTCAGATGGTGCATCTGTTTAGTGAACTGGTGGCAAATGACCACTCAGGACAGTGATATGAGTTGAAAGAGAATTGGCAGGGAATGCGTTATATTCTGTGAAAGCAAACCACTGGAGGGTTTTAAGCAGAGAAGTATCCTGGTATTATTCCAGTTTACAAAGATCAGTACTCCTGATG